TATTTTATAGAAAAATTGAGCTGTTGTTGTGCAATGTCCCTTTCACAAGGGGTCTGACAAGGTGTGAATGTTGAACAATGTTAGTATCATTGAAAGGGTTAATGCTGTGTTCTGGTAGAATGATTTGCTCTGTCTGTACGTGCACACATGCACCCACGCACCCATGCACCCAATATATACACGTACACAAACATACATATATACATATACACCTGTGATACCTGTGTGTATGTATATGTGTATATATGCATATATGTAACTGTGTGTGTGTTTATGTATATGCGCATACAGGTGTGTTTCTGTCTTTCACGCCCTGAAGATGCAATATTGCGAAAAAGGTCTTGTTCACATTTTGTGTCTTCCTGGTCTTCACTTCGCTGTTGTGCTCTCTCTCTCTCTCTCTCTCTCTCTCTCTCTCTCTCTCTCTCTCTCTCTCTCTCTCTCTCTCTCTCTCTCTCTCTCTCTCTCTCTCTCTCTCTCTCTCTCTCTCTCTCATATATTCTCTTCTCTTCTCTTCTCGAGAGGGAGAGGGGGAGAGAGAGGGAGAGGGAGGGAGGGAGGGAGGGAGGAGGGCTCTCTCTCTCTCCTCATTTTCACACACATATATATACATATATGTGTATATATAAAGATTTTATTATCAAGGTTTTATTTATCTTGTAATGTTATTTTTAGGTTATTTGATTTTTATATTTTATATTGTTTGTTATTTTATGAAGTGAAATTGAATATAATGGTATTTACTGCTCATTAACTTGTATATAGAGATTTGTACAGGGATTATTTGTATTTTTTTTTATATACTTGTAATGTAGTAATGCTCATAGAATTTTGTAAACCTAAATCAAAAGCATCTTACTTAATTAGAATTGTTGTTAATGGTTTTGAAAGCCACAATTTTAAAAGTTATTTTTACACATTTATAGATTTTATAAATAGATTAATTGTTATGTATTATAAATTTATTATAGCATTTTGGCACAGGAAAATATCCATAGTCAACATGTATTGAAAAAAAAAGCCAAAAACCAGTTCAATATTCTTTTGTTTAAAAATTCATACTTGATACTGTAAGTTTGTGACATAAAATATTTAATAGATATGAATAAAAATTATCAATGATTAAGATTATCTATTAATCCTGTATGCAAATAAATACTATATAGGCCTTACCTAACTCCTCTCCAGAAACTCTTGCAAGCATCCAAAACGTCCTAACTATCCACCCTCCAATCCCTCTTTTCCTATTCACCCTACACTCAAAGTATTTGCTGATATCCATCCTCCTCAAACTCCCCCTACCCCTCTTCCTCCCACTCTCCCCCAAACCACCCCATCCTCTCCTCCATGTGTCCACCATTCCCTCTTCCTTCCCCATTATACCATTCCCACCTGGATGCTCACGTGACTCCCTTATGTCACAACAATGGTCTTCTGTGGATCCCTTCCCTCCTGACATTCTTCCTGATACTTCAAGACCTCCTCTTGTTCCCCTATCTCATTCTCTGGATTCTTTTACTTCTCCAACTACTATTACTACCCACATATTACCTGTTGATTGTTTCATAATTTCTCTTTTGTAGTTTTCCTCATACTGTGTTACTCTCCCTTCCTCAGCCGTGTAGATGCTCTCTATATGATCTGATCCACCCATACCCCTAACCCCTTCCCTCTCACTACCATACTACCCTTGACATCAAACACATTTTGTCCTGATCATTAATTGATTTTAACCTTTTTTTCCACAATACTCTCTCATAATGCTTCTTATACTTGGGGCTTCATCCCCCAAGGCCCCCTCTATCAGAGGAGTCTATTGCAAGGTCTACCTAACCTCACCCATTTACCCGAATTCTTGATTTTTTTGTGGTGAAAGAAATAAAAGAATGGGAATAGGATCATAGATCCTTTTATCCCAGAAACTTCAAAAGATGAGGTAAGCAGGTAAGATCAGGTAGACCATTAATAATTATGTTCCTGTGGAGTCATCTGTTTGTAAAAAATAAATAAGCAAACAAAACGTAGTGGACAGTGTCGTCTCTGGCATCAATGAGTTAATACACTTCCTTATTTCCAATTTTATAAATAGAGAAACTCAACACTAGTAGCTCAGTGTATGCTATCCTTCACAGCATATTTTCAGCTTGATAATAGCTATTATCTAATGACACAAAGACAATAATATAATGAGAGGAAAGAGAAGAGAAGTAGGGGTAGGAAGATTGCTTGAGTGTATATTTTATGACAATGAACTGCCTCCCCTTATCCAAATCTAATCATTGCCCTTCTGCTAAAGTAAAATCAATGGGGACATTAACTCAAAGACAGATAGCCTTGAGAAAATAGTCTTACAATAAGCAAATCCCTTTTGAATGAGGGACCTGTCTTGGCTCCCCACCAGGAAGAGTGTCAAGAAGTCCTGCCTGTGAAATCTCAAACAGTTCATTGTTACAAATGTAGAAAAGGTATAATGGGAATGAATAACTTCACAGTACAAAAATTGGTCAATTCCCACTGATACATACAATTTTTCTACAATTATCTCTGTATCAGACAAGTAAATTACCAAAGTGGAGGGAAAGAGGAAAGGAGAGAGCATAGGGAAAAAAGAGGAATGAATCTGTAAACATGTTAATATATCAAATATCAAGAAAATAAACCCAATGATAATTATATAATTTAAGCTCAGGCCATGTTGGGGAAGACCCTTCAAATAACATGATGTGATTATGGCACATTCACTCCCAGAAAGAAAGAGAAAATATGATTAGTTTTTAAGATATAGAGATACATCACAAAAATGCTTAAAACAAAGCTAAGTTGTTTAGGAACCCAGTTAAGCCCACTATATAGCATTATATAGACAGATGTAGGTAAAGATAAGAGTAGGTCAAATCCAGGTGTGTGTGTGTGGACCTTGTAGCTAGAAGGATAAGTTTTAGAATGAGCAATGCAACTGTAAATGAAGGGTAAATGGAAGTTTTATCATTAGGGTTAGGCAGGGATTGTACTAAGTGAAATATAGGGTGCTTGGTATGAAAACAAAGGGAGATCTGTACGGTGGAGAAGATGTTTTGATGTATTGGGGGTGAAATGTTTTAGTAGTATATGCTGGTTGACCAAATGAGACTGAATGAAACTTAGAAGATTTAATGTGAACAGATGTCATGGAGGGCAGTGCAGTGTTTTATGATTAGGGAACTAGAAAGAATGGGAGGGGATCATGAAATGTGATATAGTCAGCATGTATCCAGGAGGTAGGACCAGAACATTATTGTTAAAGTGAAAGGAGTTATGTCAATGTGTAGGTATGTCAGTTGAAACAGAACAAGGAGAGAGTGAAAAATAGAAATGCAAGGAAGGATTATGAGTGGATGATTGATGACGAGACCTGAGGCGATATATTACCCCACTGGAGATGAGTGACTGTCATGTCTTGAAAAAAGTTGACTATGGGCTGGGTGATGGGAATAGGCAGTCAGGGATAAATTTGGCTAAGGGCCGGGGTGATGTGAATGACTCACCATGAGTGCACAAAGCTCTTGAAGAAGGACTGGACTTGCAAAAGATTTAGGAAGGTGCTCTCGCATCATTTCCACCGGTTAATGAGGGTGGAATGCATCATCCAGTATCACTCCAGGGAGGACACTATTTCCATGCTCAGGAACCTATTCCTGCCCACAGTGGCAAGCATTGCAGATTTTTTTTTTTCTTTCTTTCTTTTTCTTTTTCTTTTTTTTGTGCTGTATCAGAGCCTGATATTAGCAACCATGTTTAATAAAAAATGCCTGCACTCTGACTGCTGGCTTGAGCCCGAGAAAATGATATATCGCCTTGAGAAGTCAAATGCAGGTGTCGTAGGGGAAGTCACCACTGTGGCACAAGTGTTAGCGCACCGACCCACAGTTGATTAGGAAGGGCATTCAAATCAAGCAAGGGTGACACTGCCATATAGCCTCTCAATAGTGAATTGAGAGAGGTCTATGTCCTGCAGTGGAATCAATGGCTGTTAAATAAAAATAGCATATTACCATCTTGATATAGCATATCATATGACACATAGACCTTGGAAAATGACAAAGTCAAATATACTTATGCACAAAAAGAGATAACACAGAGAAGGGAAAGGCAAGAAGTCTTGACACCACATACAAGTGTTGCTGTGAGCCAAGACTACAAGCCACACACATGGGAGAGTCGACACTCAAATCTGCCTAAAGCTTAGATTTTTGTCCACGTTTGGTGAGCAAGGTACTCAGATTCAACAGATTAAGCATCCTCTCCAGCCTTCATTTAGATAGAAGAAGGGGTGCTGCAAGGGGAAGCACGAGTGTGTTTTGGGCAAAGATAAGTTAGCTTTCAGGCTGTGCTGCTGAAGGAAAGAATAGAGATAGAGCTCTTGAGAAAGATAAGCAGAGCTGCCTAGTGATCCATACCCCCCTATCCCTTGCTCGTTATTATCATGGGGGTTGAGGAGATAGGGACTGAGATCCAATGTAAATCACCCCTACCTTGGACCTCAGCCCTAGACTCATCTAAATATGCAGGGTTTTCTCTTCTTCCTCTTTCCTCTTCTTTCTCCTCTTCATCCCCTTCTGTTCAATTATTCAAATCATTAACTCATAGTTACTCTTTTCACCATACTACTTTACCATAATGCTGTATATCTGTTTGTTTTGACCACTGACTATTCTGGAAAAACACAAACATTGCCTTACTGAACCAAAAAAAAATTCTTACAAGAGGGCTCTGACCCCCAAGCCCCTCCCTATCACTATATTTTGTATATGCTGCTATGACCTTACATGTTGATGCAGCAGAAGCGTTCAATAAATAAATAAATAGTGATACATAATCTTGTGAGTGCTAATATAGTAGGTCTTCCACAGGTATGTTGGTATGTAGGGTGAGACAAAATAAATGGCTGAAAGCCATCCTTTCTGGGTCACACTACAGAGTATGAGGGACGTAGTACATAGTAGGGAAAGGAAAGCCTGAAAATACATTTATGATACTTTTATTGAAATGACTTCATTCCTATTTATCACAGTAAATAAAATACATTCTTTCTTTTGTAATATGGATATAAACCTTGTAAAAATAAATACTTGTATATTTTGAAATACCTCTCCTTTACAAAGTCTCTAACATATAAACATATTACTAAAGAAATTGTATATTTAGTCACTAGGCCGGAAAGACACACTGGTCCATAGGTAAATAAATGGCACTAATAAAATATTCCTTGAGTCTGATATGAACTAAAATAAGCATATAGATTATCTATATGACATAGAGAAACATATCAGTAGCATTAAACTATGCATATCTGTAGCAATAATCAATGTTACTGATAGCATATTTCCAATTGGAAAAAACTAATCATGAAAAAAAAATCAAGTATTTAGTATTTCTTTGTCTACATTACCAATCCAATACCACAGAATCTGACATATGAACAGGAAGTTGAATCTATCACCAAATGATTCACGCACAAAATCCAAATTATAGCACTTTTAATGGTGTTCTTTCATAATAAGTAACAAACTGATAAAACAAGAAATGTATATGCTATAAATGTGATTTTGTTGTCAGTCACACTGTTCAAATCACAAGAAATGTCAGAATATTCTTGAGGCAAAGAAAAAAATATTGACCTAAGACTCTAGAAATATACTTTGGACACATAAGCTATTCTGAGATTAGAATCAGGACAGTTAAAGTAAAATAATTTTTGTTCTATTTACACTATGTTGAAATAATATGTACTTAACCTTTCACACATCATGTTGGAGGGGTCCCAACATATCTCAGAGTGACAAATGGATGCAGTACATGAGTGATAGAAGTCCAGCCTGGGTGATATGGCTGGGGGACCTGCTGATCACTCGAAGATATGGTCAACAGTAGGAAAAAGGCGGCTAATAATAATAAAAGAGATGTAAATGCATAACGAGCACCTAATACAGTCTGTTGTGAGGAGTAAGGCCATCTCCCTCCACGAATCCAGCCTATCACGTCTTCCAGCCCAACCATCAGCCAACTGCAAGACAAAAGGAAAAATGTTTATTAATGATTAACCCATTGCCGACAGGGAAAAAGAATAAAAAATGGGGAAAATGCTGTGCTCATTTTTTGTTTTTTCTTTTTGTGTGAAATGTCTCTCCACATATATGGTTCTGCCTTACCTGATTTCACCTTTCCTTGAATTGGCTATGAGTATTGATGATGTTATTTTTATTTTTAACATCATAATTACTATAATGTTATAAACATTAGTAATAGCAAAATAAGATAACGTAAAATATTTTCTAAAATTAAAGAAAAGGGTGAATGGGCGTAACAGGCAGTACTCGTAACTGGCTCATTGGTGATTTAGTACAAGTGTAGCCATCTATGAATAAAAATAATCAAATAAGTAAACTCACAGTGGGCATGGCATGGCATGCCCATCGGCAAAGGGTTAAATGTGTGTATATTTCTGAGGGGAGGTTGGCTGCATATGCTAGTGTGGGTGTGAGTTTAGATGGGTTGTTTGGGTTGTGTGGATGCAAGGAGCCTATCACCCTAAATTGCATGTCGAGTAAACACAAGCATTTTTTGGGCCTTTATCATCTTTGTGAATTCATTAGTGATCACTAGTAGAAGATTTAACTTACATGCATACATACTTCACATAAACAGAGGAAAGTGCTTTGAGAGTTAATGCAACTGAAAATCATGTGCTTGTACTAAATGGGGACTTTCTGAACATGCAAATTCTCAGCACACAAGATAGATTTCTTTCAAAATAACGTGTCAAAAAGGGTTTGATTTGAAGACAGTACTTAACTTAAGCATTACAGACCATGGGTTCAAAAAAGTATGCAAATACTTACTGCTGTGGCCCTGTTTCAGGATTTGGAGCCGGAGTAGTTGCTACAGTTGAGTCAGCTGCCATAGACTGGGTTATGGAGCCCGAACTATCATCTTCACTTAACCTAAAAGAAAAGAAAACAGATTATTCAGATATATATCTTCAGTTTCTCTTGAGCCTGTAATCCATATTTTGTCTCAGTTTTAGCTCATCTTTTTTAACATATCAAAATGTTAATCCTACTTTCTATTATTTAAGCATCAAATATAGTAGACACTAAACCAAACCAAAGTCACTGAAAGAAGACAAAATCAACTACAAAACAAATATATAAGATCAACAGTGACAACATTAGTAATTTAAGAAAATTAATTTAATCTTAATATGTAGAAGCACAGAAGAGCACTAATACCTGCGAGTAGCCTCTTCTGTTTGGGGCACAGCACTATACAGATCAGGATGAAGCTGAGCCAAGGTTCTGCTTATTGCTAAAGCTGTTGGTGTTCCTCCTGAGGAACTTAATGGGGGGGTGTCACTTCCTTCTCCACCACTTTCACTGCCTTCCTCAGTTATGCTAAACACTCTGACAAACGGAAGAAAAGCAGAGTTTGATAAATACAATAATAATCTACGTCAACCTAACAAAAATATCTACAGTAGAAAGATGAGAGAGGAAAAAAAGGTAATAGCAATACATTACCTAAACGCGACTTGCAACTGTAAAAGGTAGGTATGTTATATCTTGCATGCTGAAACTTACCCATTTGAAGCCTGGCCATTTTTTTCTGCTTTATCTTTACTTGCACCAGATATGCTGGCTCTACTTGATGCAGCAGCAGCAGCAGCAGCAACAGCAGCTATGGAGGTTTTGCTCTCTTGGAATGGGCGTATATCTGCCAATAGAGATGACCTTCTCATTGAAGCTTTGGTTCCTCTGAATGCACTAAGGGTTGTACCTGATGCAAGGCTGATGCGGCGATTTTCTTGTGATTGCTGTTAAAACAATAATGATACATTTATTCAACAGCTGCAACAAATTGAAGATAGGAATAATGAGTATGTGTGCAACATTTTTTTTTTGTGTGTGTTATAGTTCAGGGTACTATACTTCTGGATAACTAATGAACAATAAATTAGGCAGGTTAATTATTCTAAAACCTCTGCATACCACTGAGCAGAGTTTTCTTCAACTTGTTAGATACAACCCCCACTTAAAACTCATTAAACTAGAGGACATCTTGTATTGTAAGAATATTCCTTAAAAATGTAAGCCCCTACTGCAGTGAACCAACATTTAGCTGAACTCACTGTCTCTGCTTACCTGTTTTGCCCCATATGCAAAGCTGAATGTCCGCAAACGTACTCCAGGGATAGGATTGTCAGAATTGGACTGAGTATTGGAATTGGCACCAGAAGAATTAGGCATGTCTATTTGATATTCAGCAAGTAGTCTGAAAGGATAATTTAATCAGCGAACATAATACTTAAGTAGTAAGGATAATACTTTTGTTTGTAATAATATATAACATCACAAAAACTATTTAAGAAATGAATTACTCAAGAATTTTACCTCAAAACACATAGCATTTGCATCAAAAACTTTGCAAAACTTTACAGGTTCCAAAAACAGCATATAAGTATAATAATGTTTTGATTTTTTTTTTTCCAATGTAATTAGCACCAGCATGAGAATTATACACTGTGGAGATGCTAAGCTGCTCTTTGTCTGCGGGGAACAGTTGGTCCTTGATTCGTGAGAGTTAAAAGGGTCCTCCTCAAGGTAACCAGATTGAGTGCATAAATTATATGAAGCTAATAAAGTAGAAAATATTAATCTTCATCAAGAACAACAAACCTCAAGACAATCTTATAATGAGATTTTTTTTAATTGCTAAAATGTATTAGATGAAAATATGAATTTACGTTGCCTCCTTAATGGTTCATGGACAAATCTAAGAAAAAGTAATAACAAGAACAACAACAATAATACTACTACTTCTACTACTAATAATAATTTAAAAAATGGGGAAAAGATAACCTCCTATCCCCTCCAGTGTAGAAATCAGGGAAAATGTTATTAAACTCAAATGAAAAGCTTTGCCACTAGACACTGAGCATCCTTAGTGCAGAAAACAGTTTTTCCCCTTTTCTTGTCTGTGAAATATGTTGGAAAACAATTATATTCAAAGATCATTTTCCAGGTTTCCAATAAAATCTAATATAATATATATGAGCTTTAAGGGGACAGTCTGACTCCACGGAAGGAGAGTTAAATAAACAAAATATATGTATATATATATAGGGTTCCCCAAAAACTGAGTACCTCCCACTTCTGACCATAACTAAAAAAATAATAGATAATTTTTACATTTTTGCAATCATCCTTTTAAGATCTTCAACAGCTAAGAATGAAAGGGCAAAACTTCAGATATTATTAAACAAAAGGTTGTCTTAAGAATTCAGAGGGAAGTACTTCTATACTGCAGTGTTGGTGCTTTGGTGCACAACTGACTTTCTGTTAGTGTGAGTGTGAGTGTGAGTGTGTGTGTGTGTGTGTGTGTGTGTGTGTGTGTGTGTGTGTGTGTGTGTGTGTGTGTGTGTGTGTGTGTGTGTGTGTGTGTGTGTGAGTGTGTGAGTGTGTGAGTGTGTGAGTGTGTGTGTGTGTGAGTGTGTGTGTGTGTGAGTGTGTGTGTGTGTGAGTGTGTGTGTGTGTGAGTGTGTGTGTGTGTGAGTGTGTGTGTGTGTGAGTGTGTGAGTTGTGTGTGCGTGTGAGTTGTGTGCGTGTGCGTGCGTGCGTGCGTGCGTATATATAAGTATGTAAGTATGTAAGTATGCATGTATGTATGTGTGTGTGCATGTATGTGTGTGTGTGTGTGTGTATGTGTGTGTGTGTGTGTGTGTGTGTGTGTGTGTGTGTGTGTGTGTGTGTGTGTGTGTGTGTGTGTGTGTGTGTGTGTGTGTGTGTGTATGTGTGTGTGTATGTGTGTGTGTATGTGTGTGTGTATGTGTGTGTGTATGTGTGTGTGTATGTGTATGTGTATATGTGTATATGTGTGTGTGTGTGTGTGTGTGTGTGTGTGTGTGTGTGTGTGTGTGTGTGTGTGTGTGTGTGTGTGTGTGTGTGTGTGTGCGTGCGTGTGTGCG